CTCTGTGCCAATGGAATTTATCTATTTAGAGGTTTGAGTGTAAGAAATCTGACAACTGGGAACTGACAATAATATCTGCCAATAATACACTGTTTATCTAAAACTCTGGAGTATGTAACTGCAATCTAAACTATGAATATTAAATGATATTAGCCAACACAGCTTCATAAAATCGACATTGCCCAACATATTTTCATACTGGTCAGGCCCTAAGAAATATTCAAAAGTACAGGCAAAATTACAGCTTTAAGATGACAGCTGTAAGAAACTACTGTTTTTTTTCTATGCAATGTACTTTTATCCATATTTACAGATAACAGTATGTCATACAGTGTCAGAAACCACATAATTACAGTCTATTTGCAACATTTACAGAGCCACATCTTGAGTAACACAAAAACAAAACAAAAGATCTAACTTACTGACTGGAAGGAACCTTTAGAGGGCAGCAGTGAGTTTTTTTTTTTTATTTAACTCTCAATCTGTCTGTCATCGGACAGAAGAAAGATACCTAACCAGCAAATTTGGCCACTTTAAGCTTGTACTTTAATAGTTGCACACAATGAACAGTCAGTTAAACTGTTAATAGCAATTATTTACATGAATGATGAGTTTTCTGCTAAGAGATCCTGATCGTGATTAGGGCCAAATATCAAAATTCTATAGTTTTAGGGCACCGACTGAATTACTTCAGCACCACAGAGGACAAAAAAAATATCCATGTCAGTCAATGTTACATTTCAATAAGCACTCAGTCTTAGCATCAATGCCAGGAAGCATGTTTGTTCATAATCTAACAAATCTAATAAACCTATGTTATTAACGTGAACACTGATCAGTGCACATTCATTTCCAGTTTAAGCCACACCCACCTTCGGTTTGCAGTTTAAACTAAAAAAAAAATATCACTCAAGTATCAGCATTGAAGTCAAGGTGTTGGTAGTGGTATTTAACGATGATCTGTCCTAATCGTAATTGTTTGTTAGCCACATTAGCCTTGTATAGGGCTGGGCGATAAAACGATAACGCTAAGTATCGCGATATAACTTTTCCTCAATAGAGCGATAAGACAGGTTCGATAAATGTTCGATATAATACACCATTCTCACACTTCCACGTTTTAGCGAAAGCCCTGGTGGCGCTTTCTACTGCAAGGAAAGCGACACTACTCTGCTGTCGCCAGGAGAGGGCGCACTTCCGAATTTTTCGACTTGATTAGAGAGGGAGGGGGCCACGAGTAAAAAAAGGGCCAAATATACTTTAGCAACGGCTGAAACGCGGAGTTATACATTCCCTGTTTGAGTGAAGCGACCGGCGATCTGTTCTCCTGTGACTGAGTGTGAGTGACGAGGTCAGTGGCGTATCTGTACTGTCCTACAGTGAACTCACCTCTTTCCGTGCATCCTAACAGCTTTCGTGGTGTTAAATCACGTCTGCAGCGCCGTGTTACAGCGCCAAACCGTCATATTTTAGTATTAGTGCATTCTCGAGCAACGAAAGTGAAAGAAAGAAGTGGGTTCATGTTTGAAAGTAAACTGAGGAAGCTGTGAGGCATTGGAGAGCGGGAGAGCGCTGTCTTTCCAGGCTAGCTGTTTTTAGCTGCTGGCTAACTTGAAGCAGCGCTCCAGCAAAACACGGTGAATTGATGATACTGTAGATCAAACAAGACACAAAATCACCGCTTTCAGTTTAAACATGCCTAAAAGGAGGACTCTGTGACTGGTGTGAGAGATTCACACTGCAGATAACGCTTTTACACAGCGAGCGTCAGATACACTGCGGTTCACCCCTTAAACTACTGCGATAGCATAGAGAAACCCAGCCGTCTAGCTGGTGTCTGAATACTGTGATCTGCTCTGACATGGATGTGGTAGGAGTGACCGCAGTGACCTACCGAACCGAGCTGACGTTGTTGAGAAACTAAAGAGTTTAGCGCTGTTGTTGGCCACTTGTTTAGCGTTTGTAACGGGGTAGCCGAGCGCTCGTCACCACACAGCTAAAAATAATCTGTTTTCTTTCTTAAATCATGACTATTACAAAAATTGCAGCCGTGCTTTTCAAGCTGATAAAAACAGCTCAGAGACTTTCTCCCACTGTCCCGAGACAGATTAGTGAAATGTTCCACTGTTTGCCGAGTGTTTGTCATGATCGGACCATAAGTGATAGTTTAAAACCACAGTTAACCACCCAGGAGCAAAATCAGCCTTCAAACTTGAAAGAAATCATGATTTGACATTTATCGCGATATGTATCAATATCGAACAATATGAATTTTGTTTATCGTGATAACGTTTTTGGCCATATCGCCCAGCTCTAGCCTTGTAGTACCAGTGCAGCACTAAAGAAGCTAACTTTGGACACCGAAATGTCTTGGCTCATCAACTAAGTTTGGGTTAAGGGGGAAATTGTGTAAATCTGATATCTGGCTGAACTACTGCTTTAATGTAGTTGTGGAGGACATGGCAATTAAACATCTGACCTTACTCTGAAATCTCAGAGAAAAACTCTCCGAAGCCACAGTGTTAGAGGCACTGTTACTACAAGACATTACAGCTCAGCTGGAAGCCTCATTATGCCTGACTGCACTGTGGGAACTATCAGCAACAGCCAGTGCGCTTCACCTCACTACTGTGCTTTTAAAATATCGTCTCAGGGCGAAAACTCCTGACCTTCTACTTGAACACCCAGCGTTCGTCTCCATTGTACACAGTGCTCTGCAAAAGGACGTGACAGAAGAGTTTAGAGGCGCGTTCCAAGAGCTACTGTGTGATATTTGTTGTAGGCCCACTGCTCCACAAGAAATGAAATCTCTGGCTGGAGGCCAGCAGCAGCAGGCCGGTGGAGGCTGTGGGAGTGTGTGTGTGTGTGTGTGTGTGTGTTATGGGCCCCCCAGACAGCCTAAACTGTTTGCAGTCAACCACAAACTTGTCTGTAGTTCAAGAACCACTTTTTTTGAACCTCTGCTACCCCAGTGTGAAACCCCCGCACTGATTTGGACAGGTGTAGGCCGCATGCATACACTGAGCAGAGATTTACTGAGCATTAACAATGCTGCCTTTGACTCACACAGCTGGCTCAAACTGTTGACCTGTAAGCTCGAAGTCTGATAGATGTTGAGGCCCTTGATTTTAAGAGATGGTGATGAAAGCATGAATGAGAAAACCACAGGGCCCGATAATCACCTACGATAATCACCTGTACGTCACCTTCTCATCATGCATCACCCATATTAGACCTACATTAAAGGAGAATTGCACCACTTACTCAAAATTTCCACCAAATCAAAGTCATTCAGAGTGGTCTGATGTGAAATGCGCTGCTCTACAGAAACAGAGTCAGAACTGTTCACAGTGGTGGTGATAGGAAAGCCAACGTCTGAAGCATTTAACGAATCTAAGAGCGACTCAATCAACTTACTTTTTCAGATTCACCACTGTTTTATGATGATTACCGTAGTGTCTTTGGTTGTTCTGGATAGTAAGTAAAATGGTTGTATTTGCATTGCAGACAATGTTCCTATCACCACCACTGTAAAGAAAATGCAAGTTGGTAAGTTTCTCTACAGTTAACCATTTTACATTAAACCAGTCTGAATGAGTTTCACATCTCAGCGACTGAATTAAGCAGACATTTTGAATAATCTGTAGCATTCCCCTTTAATTGGTCTTAAATGATGGAAGGAAATGGTCCACGCTGAAACTGCAGCTTGTTAGTTAGCAGGCATTTAAAAGGCTTAGAGGAAGCTGGCAGCATTTCTTTTTGACCATTACATTGATTACAATAGGTAAAAATTCTCAGGCAATGTTTTAATGCAGAAAAATACTGTTGAATACTATTGTTTATACTGCAGCATAGTGTAAATAGTTCCTTCAGTTACATTTATACATCCAATCTATTTTTTATATTTTAAATATCTGTGAATAGCAAATAACTGAATCGAGGGCGAATATTGAGATTTTGTGTTCAGTTGACTCGTATAGTGAATCTGAATCAAATTGAACTGTTGTAAGGTCAGAGTTTTACACCCCTACTAGTTAACCCAATATCTTAACTGCTTGCCCAATATTAGCTCAACGTACAGTTAACACAGCATTTTGAGTTGAAATTAAATAATGAATATCTGCGATGGACTGGCGAGCCCTGCGATGGACTGGCGACCTGTCCAGGGTGTATCCTGCCTTCCGCCCAGCGGGGATAGGCTCCAGCACCCCACCGCGACCCAGAAGGATGAGCGGTTTAGATGATGTATGTATGTATATATATATGAAAGGCCAGGAAGACCACATAAAACAACTGTGATGTACTGCAGATGACAGAAGAATTCTTTCCCTGATGAAGAAAAACTTCACATCAGCTCCTCCAGGAGGCATGCGTATCTGTGTCAAAGTCAACAATCAAGAGAAGACTTCGCCCGAGTCATTTCAGAGGGTTTACCACAAGATGTAAACCATTGGATAACACCAAAAACAGGAAGACCAGATTAGACTTCACTAAACATCTTAAAACTGCCTGTGCAGTTCTGGAGCAACATCTTATGGACAGATGAGACAGTGCTTATGATCCACAGCATACCACCTCTGTCAAGCATGGTGGGGGTAGTGCTATGGCATGGGCATGTATGGCTGCCAGAGGAACTGGTTTCCATGCATTTATCTATAATGTGACTGCTGACAAAAGCAGCAGGATTTATTTTTTTGAAGTGTACAAGCCTATATTATCTTCAGATTCAGAATCAGCCAAAAGCTTCAAAACTCACTGGATGGCCCTTCACAGTGCAGATGAACAGTGACTCGAATATGCTGTGGTAGAAAAAGAACAATAACTTTTTTGATGTCCAAATATTTATGGACCTGTCTTTAGCAGAACAGCTGGACTGATGAGGTTAATATTGTTATGCATCCAGATATTGCGTGCATCATGTAAATGCACTCTAAAACACACTAATAAGTGCAAGAGCCTCTAACGCAGCTATAAAGAGGTTGATTTCTGTATTCTCTCACCATGTACTCCATGTTTGAGGCAGGGGGATACACCTGACCCCTCATCTTATTGTGCAGGTCCAGGATAAGCTGCATGTCACTCGCCGAAATTGCCCTTCGGGCCCTCGGTCTCGCTTCCCACCACGACTCTTCCTTCTCCAGGTATCTCTGCAGCATGGCCTCCACCTGTGTTCCGTTCGGGATCACCATGGCAACCGCTGCACGGGCAGACAGCAGCAGCAGAGCGCGGCACAGCCAGGGCAGGGGTGGACGCTTCATGGCCAGCAATCTCCCACAAATCGGTGCAGTCTTGGTTTAGCCTGCAAAGAATGCAAAGGAAAAAGCAAAAAGGAATAAAGAGCTTCTGTTTGAGTTGCAAGATCTTATTAAGACATGTATGGTTTTAGGCCTTTGTCGTCTTTCTCTAGGTTTTGTTTCATGCAACTGGGTTCTGGCCTTATGTGCCAGAGTTCTGCTCTCTTGCAGCTGAGTTGTTTTCATGTAGTTTCATGCAATTTCTCTCATGCAACTAGGTTTTTGTCTCATGCAGAGGGGCTGTGATCTTATATAATTATGTTCTGGTCTCATACAATTGGGTTTTGTCTCAAAGCAACTGAATTCTGGTTTCACGAAAATGAGATTTGATGGCTTGCAGTTGTTTGTTGTCACTTGCCATTGGGTTCTGGTCTCCTGCAACTAGGTTTTGGTCTCACACAGTTGGGTTTGGGTTACATGCAAATATGTACTGGTGAACAGTTTTCATTTTGTTTTCATATGAAATGGATTTTGGCAATAAGGTTTGAGCTTCATGAAGTTGGGCCGTGACCTCATGTAATTAGGTTTTGGTCTCATGCTTTTGGTTTAATGCAGTAGGATTTGGTTTTGTGCAACTGGGTCCTGATTGATGCAACTGGATTTTGATCTCATTCAGCTGGGTTCTGGTTACATGCAAATGAATTTTGCTTTCATGCATTTGGGTTTTGGTTTCGTGCTTAAGGGCTTTGGTCTCATACAGCTGGCTCAAATTCATGCCGTGGGGTTTTGGTTTCATGCAGCTGACTTCTGAGTACACGCAATTATGTTCTAGTGCCATGCAGCTGGGTTGTGATTCATGCAATTGTGTTTTGGTTCAATATAATGGGGTTTTGGTCTAATGCAATGAGGTTTTAGCTTCACGCAGCTGGTCTTATTCAAAAGGGTCCACATTTATGCAATTGGATTTTTGGTCTTATACAACTTGTTTTTGATTTATACAGCTTGGTTTTTGGCCTATATGAATGGTTCTAATTCATGCAAATGGGTTTTGGTTTCATGCAATTGAGTTCTGGGTACAAGCAATTATGTTCCAGCCTCATACAGCTGGTTTGTGATTCATGCAAATTTGGTTCAACATAATTGGGTTTTGGTCTAATGCAATTAGGTTTTAGCTTCATGCAACTGAGCTCTGGTCTTAAACAAATGGGTTCTCATTCATGCAACTGCATTTTGGTCTTACACAAATTGATTCTGATTTATATAATTTGGTTTATGGTCTATACAAACGATTCTGATTCATGCAAACAGGTTTTGGTTTTATGCAATTGGGCTCTAGTTAGATGTATCTGGGTTTTGGTCTCGTGCAACTGGAGGCACGTTTATTTAAGTCTTGCTGGGAATTGCCCAGTAAGCACTTTTGCACAACGAGCTGTAGCAATCATTCCCTACCGGTGAAAAGCTGTTCGTCACACACGTGCAATATTTCATAAGTTTGTGCCCTGCATAAAATGTGCAAACCGCAAACAGTCGAGCAAACGCGCTGTGCACTTTTTTTAAAGAATCAAACAAGATAAACATCATTTTGCACCAATCTTGAAAAGTAATATGAGCGTTTCAAAGAACAATTAAACATACAAAGGAGATCTACCTTTGTTGAAGCTCTGGAAACGATCGTCTCTCTGACGACAAAAAAAAAAATCAACAATGTAAAGTTATTAAACTCCAACTGACCTTCTGTACGTGCACGCGCGCGTGGACTGTCCTTGCCCCCCCCCCTGGACAGTCTTAGCGTCCGGCAGAGAAGTTTTGAGCCCAGCCCGTCTCTGCAGCGCTGGATTATTTCAGGTTTGTTTGATTGCCCTGCTCGACCACCTTGGGGGAATATTTGCGTTGGAACTCGAGTCGCTGAGGGCAGTAAAGCAGCAGTAAGGCTGCCTCTGCTCCTTATATCCTCCATGTGGGTTCAGTTAGGCGTGACTTGTGGGCCACTCCCCACACAAACCGTTCACCCCACTAACACAGAGAAGCCCCCAGGCTCGAGTCCTGACCACGCTTTTTCCTCTAGGAATAGCCATCAGCTCTGCAGTGAAATGCATTGAAGCTGCTTAATAAGAGGATCCGACATAAACCTTTTATTGTATTTAAACACAATGAACTACTTTTAATACAAGCGACCTACACGTTATCTGTATGGAAGCCCACCTCTGGAAAAATATAGCAATCTAGTAAGTCATAATAATGAGAAGATTTTCCATAATTATGACCTAGTATTTCATAATTAAGACATTCCATCTAATAATTATGACTTGTTATCTCATAATAACTTGGTATCTCATAACATTAGAAATATTTCTAATAATTATGAGAAAGTAAGTCATAATTATAAGAAGCTTTCTCAGTATTATGAGATAGCTAGTCATGAGAATGAGATGCTTTGTCAATTATGAGATACTTAGTCATAATCATGAGAAAACAAGTCATAATGATGAGACATTACATCATAATTATGAGATGCTGAGTCATAATTATGAGATATTAAGTCAGGATTATGAGAAATCTTCTCATTATTATGTATAGCTAATTATGATAATGAGACGCTATGTCAATTATGAGATATGTAATCATAATGGTGTGAAAATAAGTCATAATTATGAGACTGAATCTCATGACTATAAGATACCATCATAATTATATGAGAATGTAAGTCATAATTATGAGATATTAGCTCATAATTATGAGACTGAATCTCATTACTATGAAATACCAAATCATGATTATGGGAATATAAGTCATAATTGTGAGATTGAATCTCATTATTATGAGATACCAAGTCATAATTATGAAATGATAAATCATAATTATGTGATAGAATCTTATTATTATGAGATACTGAGTCATAATTATGAGATATTAAGTCATCATTATGAAAAACATTTCTCATTATTATGAGATAGCTAGTCATGATAATGAGATGCTATGTCAATTATGAGATAGTCATAATCATGAGAAAACAAGTCATAATGATGAGACATTACATCATAATTATGAGATGCTAAGTCATAATTATGAGATATTAAGACAGGATTATGAGATATTTTCTCATTACTATGAGATAGCTAGTCATGATAATAAGACACTATGTCAATTATGAGATACGTAATGCTAATGATGTGAAAATAAGTCATAATTATGAGACTGAATCTCATGACTATGAGATACCATCATAATTATATGAGAATGTAAGTCATAATTATGAGACGTTAAGCCATAATTATGAGATACTAAGTCATAATTATGAGATTGAATCTCATTATTATGAGACGCTGAGTCATAAATATGAGATCTCATTTTCATGAGACACCAAGTCATAATTTTGAAATGATACATCATAATTATGTAATAGAATCTTCTTTTTATTATGAGATACTAAGTCATAATCATGAGATATTAAGTCGTATTATGAGATGCTAAGTCATAAGTATGAGACGGTAAGTCATAATTGAGACTGAATCTCATTACTATGAGATACCAGTCATACTTATATGAGAATGTAAGTCATAATTATGAGAAGTTAGGTCATAACTATGACATATTAAGTCATAAATATGAGACTGAATCACATTACTATGAAATACCAAATCATACTTATGTGATAGAATTTTATTATTATGAGATACTAAGTCATAATTATAAGATGAGATCTCATTATTATGAGATAGCAAGTCATATTTATGAGATGCTAAGTCATAATTATGGAAAACTTTCTTTGTATTTTGACTAAATGGCTATATATTTTTTCCAGTGTCAGAAACGGCTGTCCAGACATCTGTGCTACAAATGAAAATGTAAATATGTTTCTAAATATTTTTCCTAGCCATCAAGCCATCCCACCGCGCATACGCACATCATTTTATTGCGTGTTTAATGTTAATTCAGCCTTACTTCGAGTGTTTTACACAGACTCAGTTAAGTGTTATTACTTTCCCTCTGGTAAGGTGATTTTATGTAGGGCGCTACCTATGACAGTGAGACATTTCTACAAGGTAGCACGATTCATCAGAGTGAATCACCAAAAGCAGAGTGAGTGCAAACGTTACAACTTATCTCACAGTTGGGGTTAACTGTAGTAAGACTGAGGGGCCGTTTGTAACTGTTCTTAAAAACCCTGGAAAGATGATTCTGTACACAGTGAATTCAATACAGATCTATGCTGTCTCAACCAGATGAGCTCTCCAGTCTAAATACATCAAAATAGGGTTGGGCAATACAGGAAAAAAAAATTGATTTATTATGTTGGAACATAAATAGAATCTCTAGTCCCCATATGAAAACAAAATAATATAATAATAATAATAATAATAAACCTACAACTACAATGTAATGAACAGGCCTAATTATGCCTCTTTGTATTGAAACATGTAGTTAGTCTGACGATATCCACATTGTGCTCAGAAAAGTTTACTGTGACAAAATTTATCACAATAACGATAAAATATTATCATATTGCCCACATCTACATAAAAACATATTCAATTCAACAAAACATGTTAAATGTGTTTAGTAGTAGAGGAAATATTAGTGCAATTAAACTTAATTTACATGATATTTGTAGTGTGTTTGCATTATCTGTGCCTAAAAACTAGTTTGAATGTATATGGAGGAACCTTGCTGAGAAAAAACAGCAATGACCAGTATGAATTTCATGCTGGTCTAAGCTGGTCTATGCTGCTCAGGTGCTGGTTTAGCTGGTCACCTAGCATGGCATTCAAAACACAACATGTGCTGGTTTTGATGGTCAGTCATGCTGGTCTATGCTTCTAGCAGCGAATATAGACTTAGTTGTAACAGCGTGCTAAAACTAACCCCGCCGTGGGGAGGCCGCACTTTAGCCTGGCTAGCTCTCGCTGTGAATTGTTTACTGTCTTCAAAATGGTGCTATATAAAAGCCACCAATAGGGTGATTATAAGTGTGAATGCTGTGACTTATACTCAAATCTTAGCAACCAAAAAGCACTCATGGTGGG